TATTATCAGGAGAGGTTTTACCATTTAGTTATCTATTCCAAATATTAGATCTTGGAGTAAGGGGGAGGTTGATAGCCACTCCTCTTCTCATTAAATTTTTTCCTTAAATCTTCATTGTGAGCATTTACATCAAACTATATTATAATAGTGATTTTAATCACTGTCAGTTTTCAATTTATTCAAGTCAGGGACTAGAAAAATAGTTTTTTATTGGGATTCTATGAAAAATTATTTTATAAAAACGGCTCAGTTCATGTTCTTTTTATATTTAAAATATTCTTGAAAATAAATGTACCGGTAATAAAAATTAATTTAATCAAAAGCTAGGTGTAAGAATATTTATATTCCCCTCCCCAATAATACGATTTATTTGTTCTTATCAGGGGGGAGTTATATATATGCCCATATACCCCATGAGAACGCTCATGTCCGTCCTGGACCTTTTACTGTTAGGTGATTTGAAACGTAAGATAGGAAAGGGATTTCAAAATTTAGAAAAACCATTTATATTACTGCTTAATATTTTTTAGAAAGAAGAGATAATGAATGGGTTGTGTTTGCATAAAGTTTCTTATGGATTGTCAGTTATACAGAGTGTTCAGTAAGTAAGGAAACATGTCAATTGTTACAAACATTGACAAAAACCCATTTCCTTACTCTCTATATTTTTGCCAACCATTCGCAGATTCTTTCCCCCACTTCCACTCAATGCAGCATGGACAATGGACTTCTCTTCTAGGTCCCGGCTAACTGGGAGGCCACGTCATGTTGTAATTCAGTTCTTGATTAAATTCGTGCTAAAGCATAACACGGCAATGAGTTTTAAACTTGATCCTATTTGACAGTTTTTGTTGAGAATATTATTTATTTTTACAGGTTTAATCCAACAAACTAAATAATTTTCATGAGCCACTAAAAACTAACAAAGAACAAATGCCAGATTTGCCACCATCAAATGACTCATGTCTTTAAGAGCAATTATTTTGAGAAAATAAGATTTCCAGCTTTTTACCTATAGGATGAAGTGTAGTAAATTTAAACAAAGGGGGTAATTGTAAATAATTTTTTTCTCTTATACTATTTACCATATTATATTTTAGATCAGAAAGTTCTGGTCCTTATGTGTATTGCTATTATATTAGATGAAAGTTCGAAATAAAAATTTGTGCATTTATAATCATTCAATTTCATCCTACTTACATTATAAAAAATTGTATAGTCTTACCTATCTTTATGTTATATATCACGTTTTTATCTATATGGAGAGTATTATTAATTTTGATGAGTCAGACAGTTAGTAACAAAAATGAAAACTTTAAAATGGCTTAATTTTAATGGCTCAACATTTTACAGAATTCAAAGCTACTAAAATGTAATCTATGTTTAAATGTTCAAAAACATTTCTTAAGAAATCTCGCGCACTGGTAAGCGCTCAGATCAGAAAAATTTTTACCTCACTTTTTTTTGTAGGTTAAATGCGCATAGTTTCGAAATATACTCGGAATTTTTAGCTTCGATGCGAAGCTGAGAAGGTATTGGTTTCACTATGATGTGTTTTTTTTTTTTTTTGTGTCTGTTACCACTTTTTCTCAGCTCTCACCGAACGGATTTCTTTCAACGATACGTCAAAAGATCACAAATCGTATCTAGTCGAAGACATTACCCTTCAAAATTGAAAAAATTTCCCTCGTTCCC